CGCACTATTTTCTATAGGGTAAGGTTATTTAACTGGTCCTTCTGTAAGTATTTACTCCATGCTTATGAGCAACTGATACAAACGCAGTGGTTTTCATCAAAGAGGTAGTTGCTAACCTGCTTTTGCCTTGTGTTCTACTTTCAGACCACCACAAACAATGGAATGTAATGTTTTTTTTTCTCTTAAAATTTGTTTTCCTTGAATTTTTCTAGGTAATATAAAGGCATTTTGTGCAAAAAAATTTAAACAACTTGCAAGTTTTGGTATAAATGGATTAAACACTTATCAGTACACAATTGTATACGTCTTCTTTCTTTCATATGATATTTTCTGTATCATTCCTTGTTAAATCAGCTGATCTTGGATCAGTGTAAGGAGAAATGTGAGTATTCAATGAATCTAGGGAAATAACTTGATCAAAATATGACTTTTACTTTATAAACGTGTTCCCAAATCATCCCATTGTATGACTTGATTTAGACATTAAGTTTCATCATGTAGAACATATCTCTAGTTAAAATGGGGTTCTGAGATGCTGTTTAAGCTTGTGCAGTAATGAATAAAGGATTCTAAGCAGGCATTGTTGTGTGGTTTGGAAAACAGTCCTTTATTAAGTATGTGAGTAATTCTCATCATCTAGCTTTAACCACCCCACATAGTATTCCTTAGAGATGCCTGAAACTCTACAAGTACAGAACAAATAAATGATTAACAGATTTGCAAGCATTTGAAGGTAAATATGAAAAAAATAGTACTTATGTTCTTATGAAGTTTAACACAGTATGGAGAACCTAACTAAATAAATAAATGCTTGGTTTGCATCTTGAATTACAAAACATTTCCTAGTTAGTTTACAGACTGTGATTAAATGAAACAGATATTTGCTTAACTTATTGACTTTAATTTTGGTATTACAATTATATCTTTTGGTTCATTTTTTGACACAATATTTTTAATTAATCTTCATTGTTTAATTTAGTTATTGAAAGTTTGAAACAGTTTTTATTAAGGGCTAGACATAGTGAATATTTTATACTTGCATATGGATCCATCACATATTCTTGTTAATTTTTTGGAACAACTCTTCAAGAATGTTGATGCTATTCTGAGTTTCTTGCTTTAAAAGCAAGCCACAGTGCAGACTTGGCCAGGAAGCAGTTGTTTCTTTTTACCCCTCCACTATGTGCTAGTGATATTAAAATGACTAAAGCAGTTTTACCTTCACATTTCAAGCATTCAGTCATTCAGGTGCTTTACCCAGCACCTTCTGTGTGCTTCCAGTGAGAAGACAACCCTAAACCCTGTAATACCCTAAAGGAGGCATTTGTCCCTTACATGGTAGAAAAAGAATAGGGACTTATTTTCATCAAACTTCAATTGTTTTGAAACAAATTGGAATCTACCTGGTAGAGAAAAAGGTGAAGGTGTTCTGGGGAGGGGAATCCAGCATGAGTTCTATGCACAAGCATAAAAGCAAACCCTTTAGTTACATGTGACGTTTATCATGTGGTAATACATGTGACTTCAACAGACATGTGTATGGTGATAGAAGTCTGGGCTAGACCACTGTGTTCTAAACTTTGTCACGTTGTGGGACAAGAGAAAAATGTAAATGTCTTACTTTCTTGTAGCACCAGGCTAATCAGAGAACACCACCTGTAACTGGAGCAAGGCACCTAGAGGCTCCGGCTTCCCACCCCTGAGATTGGGCCCCACTGCTCCCTTACACCCCTTGCCTCTCCAGGGAGAGTTTCTGGAGCAACCAAGGAATCAGGTGAGTTGGACATGAGGGGGGAGCGTGAATACTCTGCACTGCAGGCTTGGCTTCCACTCCGTCACTTACATGCTGGATGACAGGAGCTGGCTATCTTGAAATCCTTTTGCTTTCATTCCTTCCTCTTTGTAAAATACTGCTGCTACCTAGAAGGGAACTTATGAGGCTTAAAAGTAATGACATCCTGTACTTAAAGCTTTTGCTGCGGAGTCAGTATCCCACAAATCACTTATTTCTTCTTGCATCTTCCTAATCTTCCCAATTGCAATTGTAAAAAATTCCCTTCGTGGGAAAACTCACAGTCCTTCCAGTTTCTATAGCCTTTTACTGGGGGTGGCAGTAGAATGCTTTAGGCATGGGAGAGTGTAAGTGAAGAGAAATCATAAAATAATGACCAAACCTCACGGCTCTGGCACTCTTTCTGGCACTCTCACTTGAAACTTTGACTTTTCTTTAGAAAGAGAAAAGTCAGCAACTCTTGGGATATAGATAGTATGGGTTACATTCTCAGGGAAAAGAGTCTCTCTCTCTCACTCTCTCTCTCTCTCTCTCTCTCTCTCTCTCTCTCTCGCTCTCGCTCTCGCTCTCTCTCTGTCTCAGCAAGGATACAGGAGCTGAGTGTGTGTGGATTGTGCCCTGGAGGTGAACTGAGGACTCTGGTTAAACATGGCTATGAAGGAAATTGATCAGCTGACTTCAGTGGGAACATCTGCGGGTTCATATTGGCCAAGTCCCTAGAGATTCTTTGCACTGCTGAACATGCTACTTCCCAACTGTTCAAGATAGTGGCTTAGAGCTCTGCACACATTTTGAGATGCATTCTGCTGATTGGATTATTTTTAAAACCTATTTTTTTATATAAAGTATTTTTTAATTGCTTCATTTTGGACTAATGCTAAGTCTCAGTAAGATTGTTCCAAGTCTAGAATCACAAAATGCTGCTCTCTAGGTTGGAAGTAGCCACCCCATCACTTTGCAAATGTGGAGATTGTGGTCCGATGCTGCAAAAAATTTGTTCAAGCCACAGAAATATCATGTTCCTCCTTCTATCTGTCTTCCTCTCTCTTGTGGCCTTCTTCCCCCCTTCTTTGTTTGTAGAACTGCTGCCCAATGCCTTCTGCTCTTTCAGGGCTAATGACACGCAGACACATAGAACAGAAGAGAGTGCTGAGGCAGTGATATGAACCGATGCCCACTCCATGTGTGGCAAGTGACCTCACAGAGCAGAACAGAGAATTTCAAGAGAGCTGAGAAGGAGAGCAACTAAAGTAGACTTGGAGAGGGAGAGAGGAACTGACTCACAGGGCGTCTCAAAGCATGTGTTGGTTGTAAGTATACTGTGAAGCAAGTGCTATGTAAGAGTTAAGAAAAGAGAAATTATGTTAAGGTACAGTGTAATAGCATCAGATGCATCATCTATTTTCTTAAATGTATTTGTTTTGAAAGGGGGGAGAGAGAGAGAGAGAGAGAGAGAGAGAGAGAGAGAGAGAGAGAGAGAGAATGGATTAGAACACACCTGCTTGTCTGGTCTATGCTTGTATGATGCTTCCATCTCTCCTACCCAAGGGAGCTACAGTTGTTTCCCACACTCATGGTACAAAAAGAGTATTTAAAAATCATCAGGCCCTTTACAGGCATGTGTGAGTGTTTGATCCACAGATGTTTTGATCATGTGACTCTATATGCCGAATTTAGAAATAGAACTCTGTAAGAAGTCTCCACTTTTAGAAAGGTATTCCTCCCACGTATCTATCCATAGGGGTTATTGTTAAGGAGAACTGGTTGCCTGAGTTGGTTTTAGGAAATACAATCCTTTCTATTGATTCAACAAAGATAAATTTTATGGCTGCTACATACTGTTTTTTCTGATTTTTTTTTTTTTTTGGATGGTGCTGTCGTTGAAAGAGCTGCAGAGTCAATAAACAAAGTTAACTAAGCGCACAACTTTCATTTTCCTTACTCTGTGTGGGAGCCCAGAGCCAGCATGATCCCGAGTTACAGCCTCCCCAAAGGCCATGCCCAGGGCGTCCATTATCTCTAAGAAGCACACACTCCAGAGCATCTTATTAATGATATTTAATTACATTGAAATTAATGATGTTTTTCATCTGATCCTGGGCAGATTTTACAGCTGCAAGATAAGCTTGGGCGATTTTGACTTTCCTGTCTCTCCATCTCAGCAGGCAAGTGCCCCTTTTATCTCTCTTGACTCTCTGCTTCTTGCAGGTGCCTGTTTTCTCCACCTTCACTTGCTCTCTAAATATCAGCTCTCCCTATTTCGGTAATAATTAGCTACCCCAAGCCACAGACATGATCCACTTCCACACGAGGGTTTCTGATGATGTGGACAATGCATTTATTTTTCCTCATCACAGTTGGATTTGCATATATCCTGGTCATAACTTCATTAAATTTTGGAACACAGAGATTGTCAAATGAACCCTATCTGAGAGCTCAAACATTACAATAGTTTTAGCAGACTCTAATCTCATCATTGTATACTTGAGTGGTCAGGGTTTTGCTGATGAAAATCTCTGCAGAAGCAGAATGGAGTATTCAATTCTCAGGTGCAGGAATTGTTATTATTTCCCAATGAAAATAATGGGGATTGTAGATAGGATTTACTGAACTTGAACTGTATTGATGGTTTTTGTTTTGTGTGAGCAAAAACAGGTGTTCGGGGGAATTAAACATTTCTGTTGTGAACTGTAATACAATAACATTGAGAATGAAATGTTTAAAAACCAGGTATGGGGCATGCTGATGAAAGTGAATTGGATTGTAGAAATTCTTTCAGAGTTCAAAGTCTTATACTATTTAAAGGATTCAAGGAGTAAATTGGAAGTATATTCTGTTTAGATTTTTTGTTTCTGGGAAATGGTAAGAAATGCATTTCTTGAAGAATGCTTCATTGTTTTGACAACCCACCTATTGATTTATTAGGTTAGAAAGCAGAGCATTACATCAAGTAATTTCCCATTCATTTCTTTTTTCTTCTTATACAAAGTTCCTCTTTAATCTCCTCTCTAGATCGTAACCAAAAAAAAAAAAAAGCCCAAATCATGTCCAGAATAATAGCAAGACAATATTAATGATAATAACCATACAAGATATAAAATAGCTCACTGAACCCATTCAGGTAAACTGCAACATTGGGAGGATTGAAAATCCCCAAATCATCTCCAGGTCTGACCCCAGGATATCAAGACATACATCTGTCTTTTTTTCTTTTATGCTCTTGGTTCATTTATTTACTCATTACATCATTGAATATATGTTTATAGGCATTTTTCCATTTAACATATACTATGGAGAAACAATGGTGAGTCTATGTTTATGGATGCTGTAGTATAGTGGTGACTGGCATTAGTCCATAAATCACACGAATGGAAAAGTACAGTGGTAATCAAAGTGAGTGACTGATAGTAGACTTATGTGGCACCAGGAGAGATTATGAAAGCGAGGTTTAACTTATCCCAGAGCGCCAGAAGAGAACTCTGTGAGGTGGCCACTACGGAGCAAAGAACTGACGGAACCGTATGTATTTATTTCCAAGGGATAATGGGGAAGGTGAGTTTTCCTGAAAGGAAGACCTCACATAGTTGGTCATCTGTGTGGAAGGAACAATGATGTGACAGTGAAGTAAAATATTTCTAGGAGGAAGCTTCATCTCTTCAGACAAGGGTTTAGGTATCTTTTGCTATTTTATCTTGTCCTTTGTGGGTGATGACATCCCTTGAGGCTCACATTCCTAAAGGAAAAAAAAATAATTTTCATCCCAAGGAACTTAGTCTCCAGATGAGAGGAAAAGTCCAGGGGAACTGTGTCTCACTGTCAACTCTTGTACCCTTCTGTGAACTTTTTTATTGTCTTATATGAAGAGGTGTTAAGTTTCAAAGGTCTTGTTTGGAGGGAAACTGTGAGAGGTCTGTCAGAGTCTTATGCACTCTGTTACAATGTGCTAGTTAGTATCAAGAGTACTGGAAAGAACCCTAGGCTTACACTTGAACATTGAACCTTTCAAGGTGAAGTAATTAAATTCTCTGGGTCTCAAATTTCCTTATGAACATGATGGTAAGGTTCAATGATATGACAATGTCAGTGATCATATGACATTTGTCGAAATGTTAATCAGTGACTAGAATATATTTTTAATATAGGGCTCACTCTGAATCGGTGGATTTCATATCCATGGATAGAACCAACTTTGAATAAAACATATTTGGAAGAAAATTGCATCTGTACTGAATATTTCCAGACACCTTTTTCTTGTTATTTTCTAAGCAGTACAAGTAATAATTATTTAGTAGTATTTACATAGTATTAGGTATTATAAATAATCTAGAGGTTAAAGTATTTGGGAGAATTATGCAGAGTATATATAAGGACCATTTTATGTAAGGACATGAATATCTGTGCATGTTGCTATCTGTGGGTGTCTTGGAACCAACCTTGCATGTATAACATGGGGTATGATACTATGTGCCTCCTCAGAATAAGAATAAGATGGCAGGTTCACCTTGACCACTCATGCTAAAGAATGTCACACCTTTGTGTTTAATAGTAAATCAGATCATTTTGATATTTCTTCTTACCAAATTGATTCTACTTAAAGCCTAAGTTCTATTCATTTGCTATGTATGGATACAACTGTTGTCAAAACAAAATTGGATCACTCACTGAGATGATACTGATCCTTAAAAAATGTCATCTGAAATATCAAATAAGTAAAGCAAAGGGTCTACTTATGTTTTACACACAGAATTTAGCAGTATATATTTCTTTCAGATCTGATACCGAATGGTAAGTTTTAAGATCTTCTGGGCCTCAGTGTCCTTATTAATGAAATCAAAGGAACATCTATAATTCATTATTTCTTTAGAATTCTGTGCTAAGATTTCTTTAATTACTGTTGAAAGATATCAAAGTTCAACAGACCTAAATTCTCATCCTGGCTCGGTTATTTCTAGGTTTTGTATCCTTAGACAAATTTCATAGACTTTTTTTAGTAAAAGAAATGCACAAATACGTCACAGGGCTTCCATGAAGATAAATGGATACATATACATATACATATGCATATATATATATATGTGATAAATGGAAATATATATTATATATACACACATATGTATTATAATGTATTATAATCTCTCATACATATATTATATGTATGAGATACTTGCATTTTAATCTCATACATATTAAACACTAAGTGAATGTTAATGGCTTTCCTTATTTTCTATTTCACTTAATTTTGCATGAGTATATTTGTTCTGTGTGAGCTTTTGTACTTTAACTGGCTTCATCTAACTTAGAACTTCTTAAGTTAAAGGAAGAACCAATAAATTCTGTGCTTTTCAAAGCCAATAACCATTCATAACCTATAAAATTCTTGAATTTCTTCAGTGCTCTGAGAGTGAAATATGTCTCCATTATCTGCAATTATTTCACTTGTAATAATTAGGTATCAATCTTATGAGTCATGATATTGCCTTATATTGAAATATAAGGAAGACAAATGCTTAAGAAAGTAAAGGGAAAATGAATGTGAGATATTAAAATTCCCTACTCATTTCTGAAATAAATTTAGTGCGCTTGTTTTTGAAAAAATTGTTGCTTCAGGGGAAGAAAGAGAAAATCTGTTAAAGGTGAAAAAGTTTCTAAAGAAGTAGAGAGGTTCTTTTTATTTTCTTAAAGTCTTACTGCCAACCATTGGATCTTGGAAAACACAGCCAGCTATAAAGTTGTAATCGAAAATAGTAAAAGCAATGAAATGTACAATTGTGGATCACACACCCCAGATATCTTCTAGTTCATTAGTCATTCTCCTTTCTCAGCCCAGGAGATTTCTCAATCTCTGCTCTTTACTCCCAGGCTCAACTACAGTGAAACCGATGATAAGGTTCACTTTTTTTTATAGTGTTTCTTTGCACAAAGAAATGATCTCTTAAAGATGAAGTTTAATGCTCCCTCAAGAAATGCAGTTCATTTTAGCCTTTTTTTTCTACTTGGATATACTCTCTTTTTTCTCAATAAATGTTATGATTCACGGGCATTTGACCACATTCACCAGCAGAGGGAGTTCTAACCAAATTGTGTGAAATCTGGGGGGGAAGGATTGTTCTAGCATGTTTAAGAGTGTTCTAGAATGTTTAAGAGTGTTCTAGAATTTTCCCCATAGCCTGAGTTCAGTGGATGCCTTCCTAAAAGTAGATGGGTGAGTTTTAAATTAATTTAGTAAATACTGAGCTGACATGGTTATTGAGGAGGAAAAAAGATAGAATGAAAGAGATTCTATTGTGAAAAACTTTATACAGTAATTTGGTAGAAATTGTCTTTGTAACTATGTTAACTGTAACATTCTGTCCTTGTAATTACAGGGATGTAGGACAGACTCTAAGAAGCACTATTCTGTTCACCTTAGTGAACACATGAGATCACATGTTTAGTGAGAGTCCTAAGTTAATGAGAATGTTTCTCTCCACAGGCCAAAAAAGCCAAAAAGTAGTCATGGATTCCATAAACCTGTGGTAAGGTGTTTACCAAAGACCTCAGGGGTTTCTCAATTATTTTGCTGTCACTGATGGTTCAGTAAAATTGGTTGTTGGTAAAGTACTCTAAATTTTTTTCCTGAAGGGAGTGTGGAAGCACAAGGAGAGATGTGGACAAAAAGACAGGGATCTTGATCTGTTGTAAATCAATTGGCAGAACCTCCTTTTTCGTCACCTTCCTAATTTCAAATCTTTTTCTTCAATGTAAATTAAGAATGAATCATTCAAATTAAGAATATATCGTTTATCATCACAGCTAGAACAGATTCATTCTGGTTTTGATAACTTCCTTTATCTCTTCATAATTTTCTACACTTAACTCTAATATAAAAATTATTGATTGTGATGGGTCAGTTAGATCTTTGAGGACAGGAAAAAGCTTTAATTAATCCTACATTACCAGCACTCAGCAAAGAACTAGGCACACAGTAAATGCTCAAGGAATGTTCGCTGGCTGAATAAATCAATGAGTGAATTCATGAGTGAATGATTTCATATTTTGCTTTAAATTCAGTGATATTCTTAGTATCTAGTTTCAACCAGATTGTGATAATGTTAATCATGTCACAAATGTTAAGTTCCAGGTACACCTATAGTTTTTATTTCAAGTAAAAAACAGTTTCATTTTGTGGAATTTTGTAGAAAAGTTTATTATCATAAAGTTCCCCTCATGAGATTGACTTGTCTACCAAATCCCCATCTTATAGTACTATAAATAAAGTTCAGCTGGAAAGGCCATGAAAACGAGGTCGGCAAGGAGAAAAGAGGAAAGCACATCCTTGAGGATGTTAGGATATTTGAAGTCTCACAACCTCATAAAGTCCTTGCAAAAGTGGTTAATTAAGTCTTCGGAACAAAGAAAAATCTTTCTGCCTTCAGTAAAATCCTTTCTTCTTGCCCACCTTTAGTAACTTTCATTGATTAGTATGTACTTATAATTTTTTCAGTATGCACCATATTCTAAGGCTAGTGGCAACAGCCTGATCTGTAGGAGTATTAGCTAGGGCTGAGTTTATTTGTATTTACACAAATAACTTTAGGCCATTGATAATAACTGGTATGTGAATTTGAGGCTATATTTGCTAACTTATTTTTACATGAAAGTTCAACAGTCATCAAAGAAGATAGTGTTACTTAAAGATGAGATAATTCAATGGTAAATGACTCACCCTCGTTTTTGTACTTGGTATCAGAATTAGAATTTATACTTGGATAGGATTAACTTTAATATCCGTATTCTTTCACTTATTTCATGCCTTTAATGAAATTGAACTCTTGATGAGACAGTTTCAGTCTGGTAATCAAAAATCCAGTGAAAGAAAAAGACAATTGTAAAGAGTCAGGGCACGGATCAATTATTTTTGTGCAATTTTGGCTTATGAAAATCTTGTGATCTATAGTGACTCTTGATACTAGATTTTTCTGTAAGAAAACTAGAAACTTCAGGTATATGTGGTAGCTTTTCCTTACTATGATAAAATACCTGACATACATAATTCAAAGGAGGAATTTATTTTGACTTGTGGTTTCAGAGGCTTCAGGCAGAGGCTTCAGGCTGACTCCAAGACACAAACACCATGGTGGAATGGTATGGCGGAAAAAAGATGCTCAGCTTGTGGCAGCCAGGAAAGAAAGCAAAAACAAACAAAAAACAGAGAAGAGGAGGTTACAGAGTAGATATACCCCTCAAGGTCATGCCCCATGGCCATAAAGATACCCCAGAAGTGTGTAGCAATAAGACGTCTATCAAGTTGACAACTATCACATGAGGAGTTTAAGAATGTATTTATTCAAAGAATATTTATTGAGATCCTAGTATGATCCAGTTTTTGTTTGTTTGTTTGTTTATTTGATTGGTTGGTTGATGGGGTTTGGATTGGTTTGGAGATTGGTATGCACAGAACAAAATCTTTACTTTCAAGGACTTTGGAGTATATTAGAGAGTAACGACAAAAATCCATGTTCTCATGGAACTTTCATTTC